GGGAGGGGGATGGTGAGGGGGAGATGGTGAGGGTGAAGGGATGGGGAGGGAGGGGGATGCTCATTCATCCTGCACACTAGCAGGTTTCACACAGACGCAGCCGCTGCCCTTCGCTCAGTCTGCAACTCACGGTGACTGTTATTGGAGGCAAGAGAAGTGGACTCTGTGGTGCTCAGGACGGAACTCAAGGCCTGGCGCGGCCACGGCCCTGGCCTCACATGGGCTGCGTTGTATTCTAAGCGAGGACCTTGCCGGCTTTTCCCCAGGCTCACTTCCCGAGCCCCCTGGCTGAGGGTAGGCCGGTGCACAGGCCACGACTCCACACCAGCTAGGAACAGAGAGTCACACGCAGGAAACGCCACGATTTGCCTGAGTACTCGAGTAAAACTAAAAGCTCTCCAGTTCTGCAGACTTAAAAGTGCCAAGTGCCGGGGCCATAGAACAGGAATTTCCAGCGTAAACTTGTGCGTTTCTCATCTAACTTCACTAAGGCACTTAAAATAATTGAAATAACAAATCCATTTGTATTTGTTTTTCGGTTTTGAATCCAATCAGCCCTATTCACGTCAGCCAAAGAAATGCTGAAGAAGAGCGTCCACTGAGGGGACCAAGGGGATGCGACATGTAAGCTCCGCCGGGGACAACTCGGAAAACTCCAGTGGGGAGAGAGCAGAACCACGTCAGTATTAACTTAGTTATTTTAGTGCTTGCATGGTAGATATACAGGAGAGGGGATAGGAATTATAGGAATTACACATGAGGAAACGGAACAGTAGATCAAAGATTTGGTTCAAACAAAAAAAAAAACCTTTGCATGATTTCTAACCTTCTATAAATATGAGATTTTTTAAACACAAATTATCAATTTTTAAAGTCCTGGAATATAGATAACCTCCCACATATGTATATCTGTGTTTTCTCACATTCTCACCTGAGAAAAATCATTACTTTTCCTCCAGTTTGAGAGCTCAAAAAAAAATTTAAAGGATATTTCTATCTTGTCTCATCAAAAACCCAAAGAACAATGGACATAAACAGCAAGTCAGTGCTCTGCTGACCCGAGGGTCCTCTCCCCTCCACTGAGGGAAAGCCTGGCTTCAGCTGAGGCTCCTCCTTCAACCTGGAAGTGTTCCCAAATGTAACCCTATTTCCTTATTAAATCCTCTGCAGATAAAAGCTATCATCTTGCCGGGCGGGGTGGCTCACGCCTGTAATCCTAGCTACTCTGGAGGCTGAGATCTGAGGATCATGGTTCAAAGCCAGCCCAGGCAAGGAAAGTCCATGAGACTCTTATCTCCAATAAACCACTAGAAAACCAGAAGTGGCGCTGTGGCTCAAGCGGTAGAGCACTAGCCTTGAGCTGAAGAGCTGAGGGATAGCGCCCAGGCCCGGAGTTCAAGCCCCACAACCAACAAAAAAAAAAAAAAAAAAAAGCTATCATCTTTTAAATAAACATATTTTTAACAGGAGATAATAAATCCTCTATCCACATCTATTTGCCTATATGAGCTTTTTAAGAATAAGATTAATATTGATAAATAAGAGTAATATTGATAAATCTAATGGAATTTTAGATGTTTCCATGGTTCTGTTCAAAAACCAGACTTTTCAGATTTGACTTCAGAACTAGAACAATTAAATTGTAGAATACATACGAGATCCTGTTGACTATGGCATCTTCATCTTCTTGTTCATCTGCAAAAATATTTCAGGTATTAATACTCTCATCCTCTTATAAAATGTTTTACTAACTTGTTTAAAATATGTACTTAAAAAGCCATTGCTGAGTAGGGAGAGCTTTCAAAGAGCTTGTGCTTACTGAAGGCATGATTCAATTTTAAGTCTCACTGCGTCGGATACGATGGCACATGAGGGAGAATGGAGAGTCTTGATTTCCTAACGGGCCCTGACTAGCTGTCCCAGGAACTGTGTGTGCCTGCCCTCCTGGGGTCCCGGCCCTCACTGATGACCTGTCGCCAGGCCTTCCCATATGGAGCACATCTCCTGGGAGAAGCTGGCTGTTGTGTGTTCCGTTCACTCCATTCCATGCTGTGGAAGCCACGCTGGTAGGTGGCAGCATCCACTGCTGCCTGGCTACCAGGTAGCAGCAACCTCAACCATGCATAGAGGTCTACTTGTTCAACTGCCAACGTAGGACCCCTGTGGTTGTTCCATCATGGGGCCCCAGGACCCCACCACCCTCCAACTGTACAGCCGTGACAGGGTCCTTGTGAACCGTTTCCAGTTTTCCCATTCCCTGGGACAATGGCCTCTAGCCCCAGGCTGGTGCAGGTCCCACTTACACAACAGAAATAGGTGGGCATCATGAAGCATGGCTATTTCCCCCGAGGAGCTTTGCTTAAACATTTACCAGTGCACCAATGACTGTGTGCACAAGTCTTATCAACTGTTATTTTTATTTTGCTGCACAGACATTTGTGGATCACGTCTGACCCGAGTCAGCTCCCGTCTCGGCTCAGGGCTCCACAGGGGGTGTGGCTGGGATGTGCGCTAGGCCCTTGTTATCAGTTGGCAAGCGTTTATCTTCTCTCTTGTCTTCCCAGCCCCGGGATAGGCACTCAGCCTAACTGACCCTTGCAGCAGGAAGAGTTCATGACACCCTCACTGCACAGCGCTCCGGGAGTGGCAGGGGAGACGGGTGCCAAAAGGAAGTTCTCGCTAGCAGGTGTTGTTTCATGATTTCAGTGGGGCCTTTGGCACAATCTCAGGCATACGTTCCTACTGCTCCCCCTGACTTATTCCTCGCTCCTTATCCAGGCAGATGCAAGATGAGCCCAGACCATCTTAAGAGTGTTGAAAAGTTAGTTTTTACATCCGCATTAACATCAATTGTCCGTGTATTTCATTTTGATGTGTGCACACAGCACGCAATGCACCTTGAAAGATACACTCCTCTATCACCCCCCCTCCCCTTTTCCCAGGTAATTCCAACAAGCTTCACGGCCCCCTCCCCCTCCTGCCCTCTCCCCGCTCCCACTAGCAGCACCATCCCAAACAGGACCTGCCTTACACTCCTGTCCTTCATTTTGTGTTTGGTGACGTGAATTCTTCAGATGGGTTTCACCGTGGTTCTTCACACATGCCTGTGCAGAATTTTAATCAGACTGACCCAGCCTCCACCCCTATCACTCACCAGCTTTCCCTTTTCTATCTGTAGTCACAGACACAATGTCTGTCAGTACTGTTCACCTCCTCGCAGTCTCTCCTTGTTTCAAAATGCCACTTGGAAAAACAGGGAGGAGGGGCTGGGAAGGTGGCTCAGTGGTAGAGCGCTTGCCTTGCATGCATGAGGCCCTGGGTTTGATTCCTCAGCACCACATAAGCAAAAAGAAAAAAGCCGGAAGTGGTGCTGTGGCTCAAGTGATAGAGTGCTAGCCTTGAGCTGAAGAGCTGAGGGACAGCGCCCAGGCCCAGAGTTCAGACCCCACGACCGGACCCCCCCCCAAAAAAAAAGCAGGGAGGGAAGAATGAGAATATGGTGGAAGAGGTAAATTTGTTCAAAGTATGCCGTGTGCCTGTATAAAAACAGTACAAAGAAACTGTCACACTACAAATGTATGCTAACTGAAAAGGAAAAAATTCCAGTACCCTCCATCTGGCATAGAACCTCAGAAGGGCGAGATAGGAGGGTCATGAGTTTGAGGCCAGCCTGAGCTACACAGTCAGCTCTGTCTTAAAAAATAATAAAATATACCCTATCTTAAGAATTTGTAATCCTCAAATTCAACTATACAAACGAAGTTCTTAGAACTTTCTTCACGAACATAATTTGAATGAGATTACCCTATGATATTTTATTTTGCACTGTTTTCAATTTTATCAAAACAGTATTGTATTTCGACACTCACTAATAGTGTCACCTCCTTCTTTTCCGTTCAGATCTAGGCACTTAAATTCTGAAACAGAGGTGAGAAGCTGAACGGTGGACTTTGGTTTAAAGGTGTAAGTGGCGTCGGCCACACCTGTCACGGGTGGGTGTGGCGAGGTCTGGTGGGGAGGAGGGCTGAGGGGAAGGGTCAGGACAACTGTGAGGTGAGACTCCGACATGCCACAGCTACACTTTCCATTCACCTTCCAAAGTTAGCCTACTCCTCACTTCACTCTGGGAGAGGCAAGACCTCTCCCAGAATGCTCCCTGGGCGAGAAAGAACGCAACAGCAGAAGCAGCAGCTGCTTCAGGGAGCAGAGTTGTTCTTGAAGCCGCCATGAGCATAGCTGGAGACTTTTTGTGGGGAGTGGAACATGGAACTAGTGCTTCTTACTTGACAGGAGAAAACTGGCAAGTGTGAATAAATGGAATAAAAGAAAATGGATATTCAGAATACATCGAAAACCTCTGGAGGAAAAACTCCAGTTGCAACTCTGCTTACAGCTGTTGACATTAACTGTGCCCTGCAGGCAGTGTGGGCTGTGTAAAAACCACAACTAGTCTTGGAGCCCTTTCTGCATATTCTCATTAAGATAGTGACACAGTCTCCTAGTAACCTCCTGTGCTAATCAGTCTTTATACACACTAGGAGAAACTAGTATCTTAACTCCACTTTTACAAGTAGGTGACACTTTCCACATTCTGGCTTCTGCCCATCTTCATCACAGGTTATCAGCAGATAATATCACCATTTACTATGCCACAACATATTGCAGTTTAGGCTCTGTGTGTTTTTCTGATCAATTTTCCTATTTCATTTCATTTTTAAGGCTTTAATCTGCATTTCATCTGTTTCCCAAGAACGGCTTTTTGTTTTTTTGCAGTTCTGAGGTGTGATTGCCAGGTAGGAGCTCTATTACTTGAGCCAAACCCCATGAATGCCTTTTTCGATGATTTGATCTAGTATAGCACATTATACTCAGTTATGTCTCTCACTATTCTGTTTGTAACTTAGGGGTTTTATTATTATTATAAAGGTGATATACAGAGGGGTTACGGTTATATGTCAGTTAAAAGGACCTTTCTTTTTGGGCAATGTCACCCTTTCCCTCCCTCTCAGTTTTTCCCTCCCATCCCCACCCAAAAAACTGTATCGTTCATTTTCAACATTAATGTCTAGTGGTACCACTACCACGTTTGTTCACCCTTTGCCCCCCCCATTTCTGTGCCCCCTTACCCGCCCAAAGACAAATAAATGAACAAACAAGACAAAAAGAAGAAAAAACACAAACAGCAACAAAGAAAAAGAAAAGCTCATTTTCCATTCGTGGAGCTCATTTCATAAGTGTTATTTTAATGATCAGGGGCACAGAAACGTTGTGCCTTTGTATTCCTCTCCGCTTTGGTCTCACAATGTATGAATGTCCAGAGTCTTGTATAATTTACCATGTTCCAGTGCATATTAGATCTGGCTTCTGCATATGGAGAGAAAACATGAGCTGTCTGTCTCTTGGTCTTGGCTTACCTCACTTAAAACATGATTTGTTCTAGGTCCATCCATTTCAAATGACATATTATTCTTTCTAACAACTGTGCAAAATTCCATTGTGTGTAGGTACTGCATTTTTTGGATCCACTCATCTATTAATTTAGGGGTTTGTACAGCAAAAATAATACAGTCATTATAAAAACTCAAATAATTCAGTGGTATAGAAAACAAAAATAAAGTTGATTCTGCTGAGACTTAGCCATGGGAGTTTACACTTAGGTTATTTCTAAAATGTAGGCCCTTTTAAAACCCTGACCTAAAAACCTGTAAATTAACCAATACTACAATACACTAAAGAACAGAAAGTTAGTCAGGTGCTGGTGGTTCATACTAGCTACTCAGGAGGCTGAGATCTGAGGATCACATTCCAAATCCAGCCCAGGCAGGAAACACTATGAACCTCTTATTTCCAATTAACCACCAAAAAAGCCAGAAGTGGAGCTGTGGCTCAAGTGGTAGAGTACTAGCCTTGAGCAAAAAAGCTCAGGGATAATGCCAAAGGCCTTAGTTCAAGCCCAAAGACTAGCACATAAAAAAATAATCATCTGCCTCCGCACAGGTAAGTATAACACGGTAATAAAAGGATACTATGCAGTTGACTAACAATGTCATTACGAAGTCTCTAAATTCCATATTGCTTTGGAGAAAGAAAAGATATGTCTAGTAGTGAGAAAAGGGTTGGAGGGTATGTAGAACACACACTACAGCCAGTCACAAGCCTCATAAACTCCGGAACTTCCCAGATTCTAAACAGCCCAGGACTAATCTTGGTTGGACATAAGAATTGTGATAAACAAGGACTGTGGTCTAAGAGGTGATCCTAAGAATAGTCAAATTCCCTGGAGGTTATTTTTAGTGCTCAGTATCCATCAACTGTTTACTTCAGTCAGCAGTATATTCACCACTGAAGTAAGGTGTATGACATATCCCAAACACCATGCCCAGATGATGTGCATTGTAATAAAAGTTTAATTAAGGTATTTCTACTTGCCTGATTTTCTCTTGTATCTGGTGATGATGAAGTAGGAAACAATGTAGAGAATGGCAAAAATAAGGAAACATATCTGAAACAAAACAATTTAACAGATTATTTACATTTTAGCTGCATTATTCTAATACAAGACATATCTTTGGTCTGTATAAAAGGGGTTAAAATTATGGCTATTTCACCAGGACAAAGTTCTGATGAAAATATTCATTTATGTGAACTGAGTCCAGTTTAATACTATTTTGAGGGGGGGAAGCCCAATGCAGATTTTCCTTTTCATAACTTGATTCAATTTTTCAAAGCCACATGGTAGAGTAATGGGCTAGACCATTAGCAACAATTTTGAAAAACAACATCAATGAGAGACTACTACCACCATTAAATATTAAAAAGTACTAAAAGCTTCAGTAATGCAGAAGAGAATGTGCGGGCACCACAAAGTGACAGAGTAAAACAGATTCAATTATACAAATATTTAACAGAAAAGAGGTATTACAAATCAGTCTGAGGATAAATAACTATTCTATAAATATGCCATTTATCAACATAAACCAGTTAAAAGTTATTTTTGAACATTAAACTAAATTTTGTTCATTCTTTTATTTTAACTGATAAATAAAACCATATTTATTTGGTTTTTACAACACGTTTTAAACTATGCATACATTGTGGTCTGGCTCAACTGAGCTAATTAACATGTATTACCTAACATACTTATTCATTTTTGCGATGAGGATGTTTAAAATCTATTCTTTTGGTGATTCTCAAAATATAATATGGACTGTGGATGTGGCTTGGTGGCAGAATGCTTGCCTAGCCTGAATGAGGCCCTGGGCTCCTTGATACCACATAAACAAGAAAATAAATGAAATCAACAAAGTTAAAAGCAAAAAACAAAATTTTTAAAGTTGTGGGAAAAATACAATGTGTTGCTATTTACTGTGGTCACTGTGTGGGTCTCAGACGCTGCTGGAACTCTGCATCTACTGACCAACACCTCATCCTCAGCTCTGCTCCTTCCAAGGGCTCAACACGTGAATGAGACGCAGCGCTCATCTTCGGTGCCCAGCTTGTCTCACCTCGTGCTCAGGCTCATCCTTGCTTTCACAGGGGACGGGACGCATTCCTTTTCAAGTCTGAACAGCGTCCCCTTGTGCACACGCACGCCAAGTAGGCCCTGGCTACCACGAGCGGGGCCGCAGTGAGCCTGGAAGCGCAGGTGACTTCCACACAGGAGCGGCGTGAACGCACGTGCCACCAACGGGGCTGGGGTCCCCTTTGCTGCACATCCTTGCCAGCACTTCTAAAATCTTCTCTGATAAACAACCACTCTGGTAGGTGGTAGGCTGCACTGTAGTCTTATCTTGCCTTCCCCTGGCAACAAGCCATAGAGAACCTTTCAGTTAGTAAGGAGCCAAGTTCAAAAAATACACGTTCCCACCATTTCACGTCCTCTTAAGAAATGTGTTTGGGTTCTTTGCCCGTTTTTGTAATTGGGCTACTTGTTTAAGCTTCATTTCTGTCAGAGCTGGAGAATGACACACCAGCAAAAAGAAAAGATCAAGAGACAGGAGATCTCACTCCCAAACAAAACTACTCCAAGTGAAGATGAATTCAAGAGCACCCCAGCAGGGATGACTGAGGCGGAGTTGGTGGCCCGTGGCCAGGAACGTAAGATTTTGGACCCTACGCAATGACACCATCTCGGCAATGACACCCTGAGAATGGAGAGGGAGGCCGGGCCCCAGTACAGCGGGGGAGTGGCATGGCAGCGCGGACAGCGATCAGAGCCAGCGCTCCTGCGAGACCGGGTTGGGAAGCCTGGACCGTCCGTCAGGAGCCCTGCCTAGACGGGAGAGCGCTGGCCGCGCCACCTCCTCCCTATATCCTCTGCGGAGTAGGAGCTGGATGAAAGGAAATCTCACAAAAACATGGACTGGTCTACACTATCATGAAAGCCTGAATGGAGCCCGGGAAGCAGAACAGTGAGTCACAAAGCTGGAGTCAGAGACATGCGCTGACAGAGAACTGACGAGAGGCTGCCTGAACTGCACTCACAAAACCGTCTTTTACTGCAGGCTAACGACCCCGGATGCTCTTCCAAGAACTGGGACACCCCCGTGAGCAAAGCTGTCCTCATGGAGCTCTACAATGAGGGAGACAGCAGAAAACAAGCAGGCAACAAGCCATCAAGCTGCAGTGTCCAACGATGCCTAGTGAATGACAGCAGCGGAGTTAAGACCCAGCTCCCCACGGCGACAGGTGAGGAAAGAGCTGTGGGGGAAACAGCCTCGGGACCCGTGGGGGGAGAGGGAGCAGCAGTGACAAGTCTCAGAGGCAGGGACACCTGTGGCATGTTCATCCAAGGGGGTGAACCACTGAGGTGCAGTTAGGTGAGAGTAACTGGAGCTCAGGTGGCTGGAGCCCTTTACCAAGTGTTAATTCTTATATAAGGTAACTTATGTGTTGGCTCCGACCCTGAGTAAGATGCGGGTCATCTATATGGAAATCAGATTCTGAGCGGAGGGGTTATAGGATCAAACAGATCAAACACAGTACCAAAAACTCACTCTAGTCTCAATGTTGAACATAAACTAGAAGAACAGAAGCGAGAGACCAGAAAATAACTTGTTTCAATAACCCAGGAGAGAGGCCCCTCAGATCTGCATAACCAAGTAGAAAGAAGTAATCGCCTTCTGGGTGTGCTTTGAAAACAGACATAGGAGAATGAGCACAGGTCCTTGGGCTGAGAAACTGGAAAAACAGAGCTGCTGTTTCCTGAGTTAGGCAAGATTACAAGGGGAGTGGGTTTGTGGGAGAGAAATAAACACCGTTGAATAGGAAATGGAAAGGTCAGAAACTGGGTATCTGTTAGAATCATCAGACATCTGACATTTTTTGAGGAATCTAGCTGCACCTACCTTAGCAGCTAAGAATCAAGCTGCACTCTTTAATTGCATTAGGCTACAAGCAACGCTGGGAGTTTTTGTTTGTGCTTCATGGAACTTTAATCTCACTTTAGCTTGTTTCTAATAAATAAATATATATATGTATATATATGCGTGCGAGCGTGCATGCGTGTGTGTGTGTGTCTGTATTTGCCAGTCCTGGGGCTTGAATGCAGGGCCTGGGTGCTGTTCCTGAGCTTCTTTTGCTCAAGGCTAGCACTCTACCACTTGAGCCACAGCACCACTCCCAGCTTTTTCTGTATATGTAGTACTGAGTAATCAAACCCAGGGCTTCAGGCACGCTAGGCAAGTACTCTGCAACTAAACCACCTTCCCAGCCCCTCCAATATATTTTTGCTCCCATTTCTTCTTCCATATGCGTTCCACTGAATAGAATGACCTAACGACCAAACTAGACTTCATAACTTTACTTGGCCTCTAAGTAGTCACTGTTAGCAACACAATTCCTTCTGATCGCTCTTCTGTGCCTGTCCCTAGCTCCCTTCTCCTGTCAGCCTTTAAACATATGATTCTTGGGCCAAGTATCCCTTCTATCCTCATTCCACAAACTCTTCAGAAGAAACAATACCTCCCCCTTTTAACCTTCACCTCTCAGAATCCCTGACCATGGTTTGAGAAGCACTGGTTTAGGGTAGTAGCAAGACAAAGTGAAGCGCCTGCCAATGAAACCCAAGATGAGAAGAAACATGAAACCAAGCAGCAGCTGATGGGCAGGAGGGTACAGACGTCAATCAACTGCCTTCCAACAGAGAAGCGCTGCAACCCACCTGCTTGGTGAAGGAAGGGGGAAAGTGGGTTTTGATGAAACGATGTTGTAGGTTTTTAAATCAGCATCTAAAGGTAGATGTTGGGAATTTCAGAAATTCAGAGTTCAATGCAGAATTCAATTTAAGTGGAAAATGATAAAGCATTAAAAGTTAATGATCAAAAGGAAATCAAGAGAAAATACACAGAAGCAAGCAAAACTAATGGAAAGCAATTCATTTAAATCCTCAGATTAAAAAACAAATTTAAGTATTATTCACCTGAAAACCAAAATAAAAGACTGTGACACAAACTGCAGACTGAGTTAGACATCTATATAGGTCAAAGGTGAGGCAGGAGAGGGAAGGGTAAATGAATAAAGCACTCCTTCCCCCTAGATGCCCCAGGGTACAAAGGAAAGTTCCCAACCAGAAAGACAGGGGAGGAGGAAAGCCTCCAGCAACTACCACCAAAGGTGAGGGTCAGCTACGCAGATGGACTGCTTCAGGACCTGGTAGTACTTCAAAACCACTGAGCTTTTCCTTTTCCCCCTTCCTTTTTTATTGTCAAGGTGATAAACAGAGGGGCGTCCGTTACATAAGTAATGAGCACATTTCCTGTCAACCTCGCCACCCTTCCTTCCTTGGACCACTGAGTCTTGCTCTCGGCTGCCTGAGCTCTCACAGTATGTGGCTAACTCAGCCCTCAGGGGCCACAGACCTTTCTTCAGCGCTGATTCTGATCAGGACTGGACAGACACCTGAGTGAGCCAGCCACCGTGCTTAGCATTTAATACATATCAGTAAAATCCTAGCTTCTAGATAGAACTCCTCAAATGGTGCATTACAATCAAATTTTACTCCTCCTCGTCTCCTCTACGGCCTATGAGCTTCAGCTAACTGGAGTGACTGAAAGAATAAATGCCATCAAGTGAAAGGTGATCAGGTGCGGGTGGCTTACACCTACCATCCCAAGTTGGATGGGAGGGTCAGATGCGGTAGGGTGGTCCCAGCCCAGGCAGGGCTATCACCCAGCAATGACACAAAGCCTAAATTAGGTAGCTCGTGGTCCAGGCGTATCCTTGGAGGAAGCAAGATCCTGATCCTATCTCAAAAAAAAAAAAAAAAAGGAACCAGCAAAAATGAGGCTGGAGACATGGCTCAAAAGCAAGCACAAGAGGCTGGGAAGGTGGCTCAGTGGTAGAGTGCTTGCCTTGCATGCCTGAGGCCCTGGGTTCGATTCCTCAGCACCACATAAGCAAAAAGAAAATAAAAGCCAAAGTAGCGCTGTGGCTCAAGTGGTAGAGCGCTAGCCTTGAGCTGAAGAGCTGAGGGACAGCACCCAGGCCCAGAGTTCAGGCCCCACGACCGGACCCCCCCCCACAAAAAAAGCACACACAAGGCACTGAATTCAAACCCCAAAATAAAATAAAACCCACCAAAAATAAATAAATCTGTGAAGTCTGTCAAGAGGCTCTAATAGACACTGCTCTGAGGTTTACTAAATCAAAAGTAAACAAGTACCCTGTAATAATCGCCAAAATAACTAACATTATACCTCTTTGAAATTATCCCAAGAAAAGGTAAAATTCAACTAAGAATTCAAACTAGTAAAAGACATGAGGACTCAAATAGTTATAAAAGCAATAGTAAAATCGGGATGATTCACACAGATGATGCCTAACTTAGGATGGCTCGGCTTATTTTTCAACTTTACAGTTGTGCAAATGATATCCAGTAAACCACTGCTTACCTTCACTATACATAAGATATGCAATGCTTTACTGTGTTCCCTGTTAGATGATTTTACCCCGCTGTAGGCTAATGTGAGTGTTCTAAGTATATTTAAAGCAAGCAAGGCTAAGATCTGATGTTTAGTAGACTGAGTGCATTAAATGTGTTTTCAATATATAGTACTTTCAACTGGACTTATCAGAACATAACTTCACTGTAAGTTAAGGAACATCTGTACTTTTTTATAATTATAAAAGAAAGTCATATAACAAGATATAGCCAGGGCTGGGAATATGGCTTAGTGGTAGAGTGTTTGTCTAGCATGCATGAAGCCCTGGGTTCAATTCCTCAGAACCACATAAGCAGAAAAGGCCAGAAATGGCGCTGTGGCTCAAGTGATAGAGCACTAGCCTTGAGCACAGAGGCACAGGGACAGAGCCCAGGCCCTGAGTTCAAGTCCCAGGACTGACAAAAAAGAGAGGAGGGAGGAGGGGGAAAAATATAGCCAAAATAAAGTGATAAGAAACTTCAAAGTAAGATAATCAGAGATATGTTAGTGATGATAACAAGAAGTTGAGTTTCAATTGTTCCTCTAAAGCAAAAATGAGCTAACAGCAAAAAGTATGAAGAAAATAAATCCTCTGGTTGAATGGTAACCAATTTGTTCAACTACCTAGA